CATCCATCTAGCCGATTTAGTCTCCCAGTAAATGCTGCCACTACACACACACATCCGCTTAAGCTGCAGCAGAAGTTAGGCCCCAGTCACCAGCACTTACTTGAGTGTCTTCTGAGGCGAAGGGCTCTTTCTAATGGACGTATTCAGACTCTTCACACAGGGAGGCACTCAGTGAATATTTCAGGAATGAATTTCATGAAGAGTCCCCATCTTACTTACCATTCTGAGTTGCCCTCGAAATGGGAGGAGACTCACGTTATTTCCCTAATCACTGTGGTTTTTGGTGTGGGTTGCAATTAGAGGTAATTTTTTAAAACCTTTTGAGCTACAGTATGAGCTCAGGTATATGCCTTGTGTAAAAGCTCATGGCCTCACGCATTTGCAGAAATGAGGTGCCAGAAGCCTCAGTGCCTTAAGAGGCTGTCAGTTCTCCTGGTCAGTGGTTACTCACTGGGCAAAGGCTGAAATCCTGGCATCCCCCACTTCATACCCTGAAAAAAGATGCTCATAAAAAGAATATCTTCTGTCCGTGTGTCCTGTCTCCCTAGGAATGCTAATTACAAAGAGTGAAGGTTTTGTCTTGGTTTTTCCTTTTATTCTGTTGTATGTGATTTTGCACATTATGAATTTTCAGTAGACAGTAAATAATTTAGTTTTTTAAATTAGTCATTTGTAATAATTGGAGAATTAGTATTTACTGATGAGTAAAATATTTTTGTCCACTTTTCTAGATTCACTTTTAATTTTATCCTGCAGTATGAGTCCATGCTAACCAACCATATTTCTTCTTTCACTAGAAACCTGCTGGTGAACAGCATCATATGATTAGCCTCTTGCTTTAGATTAAAAACAAATACATAAAATGTTAGTTAAAAACAGACACATAAAATTAATTGTCGGCCACTCCAGTAGATTGCCTGTGATGATGCGAATGTTCTATATCTGCTCTGTCCACTGTGGTAGCTACTAGCCACAAATGACTGTTGAATGCTTGAACTGTGATTAATGCAACTAAGAAAGTGAATTTTTAAATTTCATTTAATTTTAATTAATGTGGATGTAAATAACCACATGCAGACTAATGGCACCATCTTGGAAGTCACAGTTTTAGGCGACTGGATACTTCTGGCCCATATCCTTTCATGCAGCTTGCTTGCATCTGCTGAATGGTTTCAATTTAGACAGAGGTGGTGAGCAGGAAGCCTGTCCCAGCTTACAGAGATGGGAGGAGCAGCGTCTGAACTACTCCCAGGCTGCTCCAGAGGACTAGGGTACCCTCTTGAAGTGCCTAGTCAACTGCACTCTGGCTTTCAGAACAGTCTTGCGGCTTTTTGGAAGCTGGTGGTGCTGGAGGGTGGAGGGGACATGATTCAGCTTGCCAGGCCCAATCCTGCCACAGGGGAAGCTCTGGAGCCACTGGAAGTTGCTGCTTCTGCTCCTGCCCAAATCCGGTTGGACTCTGGGGATGAGTGGACAGCATACGGAAAGGCTGGAAAAGACCCTCTAAGTTTTGGGGAAGTGGCGACAAGATTCTGTGTCTCTTAGGGAATGACCATCAGAAATCCTCTTCTCTGTTGCTGGAAGTTAAAGTCTTCTTAGATTTTCAGAGTTCTATAGAAAATCTTTTTTTTCAGTGATACGGTAACTTCGTAAAAACTATGTATCTAATGAGATGTTATGGTTTTTCTTTCAGAAACAAATCAAAGAATGGACTATTTCATTTTATCTAAACTATATGCTCTATAAGTAAAGAAAGGTTAAGCTAAGCGAAAGCATAAGCTGGAACTTGTGGTCTTGACGTAGCGTTTTTATGCAAAAAGGATCCTTCAGAGATCTTTACTGATTGTTTGGGTTTACTTCAAAGATCATGTCTTCTTGAGTTTCTGTACTTGGATTTTAAATAGATCAGTAAACCCTAATTGAAAAGAAGCACGCTGCCACACCAGAATTACTTTCTTTTTTCTTTTTCAGTTTTGAGTCCTTTCACCTATAATATGCAAATAATTTTTGTTGTTATTTGATTTTTCATTTACTATTCAGGTTATCTGTATAAGCTTTGTGAGGCAAGGGAGTCCTGGTGTCACAAATCAGAGTCTGCACTCAATTTATGGGACAAGGTCAATGCTAAAATGCTGCAACTGCCATATTTCCTTTCTTAAGTCTGTAGAAAATAATGATACAGACCGGGCTCGGTGACTCAGCCTATCATCCCAGCACTTTGGGAGGCCGAGGCAAGTGGATTGCCTGAGCCTGCGGGTTCGAGACCAGCCTGGGCAACTTGACAAGACCTTGTCTCTACAAAAAAAAAAAAAAGCTGGGCTCAGTGGCTCAGCCTGTAATCCCGCGCCTTTGGGAGGCTGAGGTGAGTGGATTGCCTGAGCCTGTGGTTCCAGACCCGCCTGGGCAACTTGGCGAGACCTCATCTCTACAAATAAATCAAAAATGAGCCGGGTGTGGTAGCACGCACCTGTAGTTTCAGCTACTTGGAAGGCTGAGGCAGAAGGATTGCCGGAACCCAGCAGGTCGAGGCTGTGGTGGCCAGGAGCGGCCACCGCACTCCAGTCTGGGCGACAGAGTGAGACTCCAACTCAAAAAAATAATAATAATAAAATAAAATAACAAAAATAAAAAATAAAAAGTAGCCGGGCTTGGTAGTGCGCCCCTGTAGTTCCGGCTACTCAGAAGGCTGAGGTGGAAGGATCACCAGAGCCCAGCAGGTTGACGCTGGGGTGGCCATGAGCATGCGGGCCACTGTACTCCAGCCTGGGAGAAGGCTGGAGTACAAAAAAAAAAGAAAATAATGATATAATAGAGTTTCTTCATCTTTATGAAAGTAAAGTTCTAGAATATCTGTATACCTAATATACTGTTGCTTGGTGCTAAAAAATCTCAGTTTGCTGATTTTGTATGTGTGCTTTTTTTCCTTTTAACAATAGTGGGGAACTAGGAAACTCCTTATACAGTGTTTTAGGCATTTGTAATTTAGGCCTGTCTTGTCCATGAACCATAGACGCTGACCTATATATTCTTAGGGCCAAAAAAATTTCAGGGCATGCATGCCTGGTGAGAGTTCCATCAGTAACTCTGATTAGGAATCTTATGTGCTCTATTTCTTTGTCTCCTTTCTTTCCATTACTTATAATGAAAAGCTGTATTTTGAATAAAAGGCGACATGTACTTGTGTTATACTCTCAAGGCAGTGTTTCCCAAGTTTTAATCATTCCTATACAGCCTTGGGAATCTGTTCATTTCTGACTACCTGTAATATTATTTCCTGAATATTTTGTAGTTGACTCATTTTAACTTGAACATTTAACAGGAAAACTTGATATCACTACAGTAAAGTCTTTATCACTACTGAAAAATCGTATCCCTCAGTCTAAACAGAAGCTAAACTATAAGTACATAAATGTAAATTTTGTGAAAATAGGACAATATGATTAGATTCTAGCTAGCATTGATGGTCAAAGTCTACCTGAGTGTTGTGAAACTGGTGATTAACATAGGTTATGAAGGTCACTTATGATACAGAGAACCAAACAGGCTTGCTTTTTCTTGTGATGAGAAAGATTAAAGAACAGAATCATTTGTGTCACTGTTTGTCCACGCTGTTTTTCAGAAGCAGTGCTGGTTTGGAGGGCTGCCTGGGGCACCTGAAGAGGGGCCAGCTGTGACTGGTGTTGGCTTGAAATAGATATGGGAAGAGTATAAGTCTTCTTCTATTAGAGTTCTTGAAATGTGTTTGCAAGTTAAATCCGTATCCTGTTACTTGTTCTCTCCTTTAATGCTTTCCCACTTGTGTTTATATGGATTATGTTTCTTCCGTTTAACTAATCATCTTTTCCTCTTTAATATCCAGGTGTCTTTTTTATGAAATGTTTTGGTGACATAAAGATATTTTTGTGGAGACGGTTAACTGATAATAATTCTGTGGGTAAAGAATGTATAAGCGAAATAAAGACTAGAACCTGGGGTCAGGGCAGACTTTTATTATGCAAAATAAAGGGAGTTGGGAGATGGTAACTGATCATTTTAGATTCACGTCACCCTAGTGTCTTACTGTACTGGCACAAAAAGGCAGAAATAAGAGTTTCAAACATGCTCCCAATGTAGTTGTCTAGCTACCCTGCATTCTTGCTCAGCCTCAGGAAGCGCTTAGAAAATCTTGTGGTGGAAGGAAGCGCTTCGGTGACATCTAGTGGCTTCTCCTACATAAAACCCAAATGCCTCTCTCGCAGGCATCAGTATTTCTCAACCTTCTTGAAACCTTTGCCCGTAGAATGCAAGGGCTAGCCTTGTCACACTGTGGTAAAATGCAGCACCACTTTATGCGATTCACATAGCGCATACCATTGTTTTTCACTTACTCTCCCTTGGCACAAAAGAACAAAAGGAAGGTGGTGCAACGTACTCAGGGCTCAGCTGACTTCCCTGATCCTGAGACAATGGCTTTCCAACCCCACACTCCCTCCTCGCCTGCAAGCCTTCCCGCCCCGAGTCAGAGCTGGCCAGGATGGGAGCCCAGCACGCTATCTCCAAGTCTTCGGCTTGGGCTGGGTCAGGGAGGGCTCTGGTGGGCTCAGAGGCGCAGGCCTTCGGGTAGCTGGAGGGCAAGGAGCCCACTCCCTCTGAGAAGGTGGTGCGTCTGGAGGGCGCTCGGTGTTGGTCAAGGGAACGTTTTTTTCTGCAGACCCTCACTGGCCATCATCCTACGAAGCTCATTCTGAAAACAGTAGGATTGTAGGAGTGTTCTCCCGATTTGCGTTTTCTACATCTGAAAGTGCATTTTTCAAAGTACGCTGGCGTTTCCGTGGCACTCTTTCCGTCTGCCCTGCCCTGTAGGCCTAGATCCTGCAGGACGCGCCGCCTGCTGCTAAACAAACAGCGGCCTCTCCTTCAGCGTTCAGTGGCATTCAGGTCTGTTGCCACCTGGGGCAGAATGACCTGGAAGGGACTGTGATTCTTTTACCTGATGAGCCTTCTTTACAGTTTTCCTGTATTTGCTGATAATGTGGGGGCTTTAAACTGCGTTTTCCGTAACCTGGGAAAGAATGAAGTCCTACGTGTGTGTCCTTCGTTCCCCTTTCATCTTTATTTTTCTTTCTGCCGTTTGTGCATGTGACACAATGTTGTCTTTGTGGTAGGTGTTCATAATAGTTGACCTACAAGCCTGACCTGCTAGTGTCAGGCCTGTCTCTGTTAGGTTCGGATCACTCGGCCTGTCACTTCTGCAGTGCTCACCTCACCTTATCTCTGAGTGCTCTCGGGTGACTTCAGATGAGTGAGTTCCTCAGCACATAACCTGCAGAGGCCTTCCATGACATCATGTGCCCCTAGAAACCTTTGCTGTAACACTGTAGCTCTTGAGGCAGTCATGTCTTTGTCCTTAAAGGTTTTAAAGAAAAGTTTTGTTTCAAATGTTTGTATGTTCAGCTAGACCAATTTTCAAAATGTAGGTGTTATGAAAGAATATGTTCGAGTCATATCAATGAGCTAAAGGCTTTCTTGTTTTTAGATTAGAAGAAATGGAAGAAAAATATCTAATGAGAGAATCAAAACCAGAAGATATACAGATGATTGCAGAACTAAAAGCCTTGCTTACAGAAAGAGACCAGATCATAAAGAAACTAATTGTAAGATATTTTGGTTTTGTTCACCATGTTAATAATTAATAAACTATCGATTGGGAAAATATTTTTAAGTAATGCTAAATGAAAATGGAAAGTACAAAATATGTGCGCTGTGGTTGAAAGTTTATTAAGACATTTATGAATTAGGATAAGAAATATAGAGTAATTTTTTAAAAACTAGATTTGGCATTAGAGTAAGAAAATTATGCCTCTTTCAGTATTTTTTTTTTTTTTTTTTTGAGTTGGAGTCTCACTCTGTTGCCCAGACTAGAGTGCAGTGGCCGCTCCTGGCCACCGCAGCCTCGACCTGCTGGGCTCCGGCAATCATTCTGCCTCAGCCTTCCAAGTAGCTGGAACTACAGACGTGTGCTACCACACCCGGCTAATTTTTTAATTTACTGTGGAGATGAGGTCTTGCCAAGTTGCCCAGGTGGGTCTCGAACCCACACGCTCGGGCAATCCACTCACTTCAGCCTCCCAAAGCGTGGCATTATAGGCTGAGCCACCAAACCCAGCCAGTATTTTTTTTTTTAGTACTTTTCACTTTTTAAAAAAAAAGAAATAGTCTTTTTGATAGATGTTGAATGTTTAATGTCATTGCCAGTATACAATTAATATATCATTGAAGAGTGTGTGTGTGTGTGTGTGTGTGTGTGTGTGTGTTGTACATGTAGAATCAGAACTGGCTAGGAAAGCAAAGTCAGCACATCTGCGCATTAACCTGGGTAATGCACTTCCAGATTAAGCATGTTAATGTCCCAAAATGTGTTCTACCAAATTCTGATCCAAACTTGATACTCTGTAGAAGAAAGTGTTCCATGATCTAGCCAAAGAAAAGCTGTATACTCTCTCTTGGAGAGTCAGCAGCACTGAGTTGTTAAGGGCTCGGAGAAGTCTATCAGGAAAGAAAATACAGACTTAACAATAAATGCCATGCCTTCATTGAGTCCATTATTCTCAAACATAAAAACATAAACAATTTTTTTTTTTTGAGTTGGAGTCTTACTCTGTCGCCCAGACTGGAGTGCAGTGGCCGCTCCCGGCCACCGCAGCCTTGACCTGCTAGGCTCCAGCGATCCTTCCGCCTCAGCCTTCCGAGTAGCCAGAATTACAGGCATGTGCTACCACGCCCGCTGACTTTTGGATTTCTTGTAGAGATGAGGTCTCGCTGCCCAGGCGGGTCTCGAACCCGCGGGCTCAGGCAATCCACTCACCTCAGCCTCCCAAAGGCGTGGGATTACAGGCTGAGCCACTGAGCCCGGCTGACATAAACAATTTTAAAGCATGTTTTAAAATGTGTGAAACATTTCAGTCTCCTGATGGATAATTAAATTATTGCTTTCTGCCACCACTAACAAACGAATGTCTTTCGCCGTACAATTAGAAACAGACAACCAATCACTCTACGCACTCATTGATCGCTGCAAACTCTGGGCATTCGCCTGCAAAAAGAACCTGAGAACAGCGTGTGTGAGGAAGTCGCGTGTCCTCCGTGCGTCTCTCTCAGCATTCGGGAGGGCCTTTTGTGTGGCACTCCATGCCCCTGCTGACAGCCACAGGTCATGAGGGTGGTGTTTAGGAGCAGGCGCTGCCGACAGTGTGTGTGGCTTCAGGCACCAGCCGCACCATTTTCCAAGCTTCAGGAACTGGAGCGTAGGCCTTATAGCTCTGTCTGGTAGCAGTAGACTCGTGGAAATTTGTGTTTTGCACATGGGATTAGCAAGCATCTGTCGTCCCCAGAAATAGCTGCTGGTTTCCAGTTCTTACTGAGGAAGTATTAGATATCATTGCTTTTTATCTGTACAACAGAAATAGGGTCTGGTGACCTTCCAGAGCAATATCGCTAGTGGGAGACAGTCAAGGGCAGTCCTATACTCTCTCCCCAGCCCCTGATTCGATGGACCGTGAGGCACACAGGCCAGCACAGTCGGTGGCAACTAAGAGAGTTGAACATCTCGCTCTGATACATTTCACTGGAATCCCACCCTGCGAGAGCACGGCCCTGTACTCTCCCACGACTGTCCTGTTGACTTATGGCCTTCCCACAGTCTGCTTGTCCAGTTAGCACACCCTGTGGGTGAAACCAGAGATAAAGGTTTTGCCTCTGGAGGGGCCATTCACTTTTCCCCTGCTCTATCCTTCCCATCGCTGTAACCGATTAATGTCCCAGATTAGGCAAGATCAAAACTACCTGCAGTTACCTGGGGGGCTGATGAATAACAATGTATCACAGTGCCATCTTCCTCTGTGGAAACAACGAAACCACGCACACAGCCCCTTGAATGCAAGTTGGACTGCCCAGTCAGCCTGGTGAAACAGAGATGGGACCAAGTTAAACATGTAGGTCCAGTTTTGAAGGAAACAGCTCTACCCGCTAAAGGGCAGAGTCAAGTCCCTGGGCATAGGATTTAAAAGATGTGGAAGACTTGCCCATCAGCAGTCTTTAAGACAGCAGCAGTCAGGTCTAGAGATCTTGGAACAAGGTATATAAATCCTCATTTAGGTTTTATATTAAATTTTGGATGAAATGATATTTTACAATTAAGTTTTTAAAATATTCCATAGAAAATATTTAAAAGATGTTTATAATTCTTTTGCATAGGAGGATAATAAATTTTATCAGCTGGAATTGGTCAATCGTGAAACTAACTTCAACAAAGTATTTAACTCAAGTCCTACTGTTGGTGTTATTAATCCGTTGACTAAGGTATGTGCTATAAACACTATCCAATAGGGATGTGGTTTAAAGCTTGATTAAAAATTTGGGAACCTCTTAGGAGCAGCGTAAGATAAAGATCCCAAAAATGTCTTCTTAAATGCGATAACCTAGCACTAAAACATATTACGTGTTCATTTTCAGAATAAGACTTAATAATACAGTCCTTAAAATATCTTATCAATATTTCAAAACTTGGTTCTGCCTTTTTGTTTTTCATACCACTAAAGAAAACTAACCGTCTAACTCTCCTTAAGATAATTTCTTGTCATCTCCTTGCTGGTCACAGTCCTCTGCAGGGTCCAGAAAGACACTCCCGCTCCCGACGCCCAGCTGCTATCCCTAGCTTGAGGCCTAACATCGCAGTAGACCCTGGCTTGGGTGTTTGTTTTGTTACCTACCAGTCTTCAGAGGCGGGCTTCACTTCCCTCTGCCTGATGACCATCCTTTTGTTTTGATTTTGTTTTTGAAACAGGGTCACCCTTTGTTGGCCAGGCTGCCTCGAGCTCCTGGGCCCAAGTGATCCTCATGCCTTACTCAGCCTCCCAAGTGGCTGGAATGACAGGGGTGCACCATAACACCTGGCTTTATGCCCATTCTTGACATTTAAAACTGAATGTGACTCATCCTGATACTGTGTAACTTTTATACAGCTTTGTATCCTTACTTTTCATGGCTCCAATCATAGTGCTTTGAGTATAGTGGGTATTCAATAAATATTTGTGTTCAGTTGCCAGATTTCATCACAAGACTCCACAAATAAATTTGTGAATAAAGCAAGTAATAAAGAATAAATGATTTTATATATTGGCTTCACAGGAAGTATGCAACTTTTGGCAAAAATCAATAGAATAAATAAAAGTGCTAGTTCTAAAGCTGTTTTTTAAAATCAGATTTCATTACATTTCACATCACGCTTAATTTTTCTTAGGCCCTTCCCAGAAATTTTGCTTTCAAAGCTCATTAAACTTCCCTACTAAGAACACTGAGTCTGTCCTTTTTAACAAGTTAAAGTGCTGTCAATGTCAGGCTTGAATGTTTTTGAAAACAGTGACTGGAAAGAGGCCCGTATTCCTGCACTCTGCTGCCCTGTGGAGAGCGCTTCCTGAGTAATTGGGAATGAGGGAAGACAATTAGCCTTAGTCTTTAAACTCACATTCAGAGGGAAATAAACTTTCAATCTTAAAATGATTTTATGAAACTTGTGGAAACAAGATATTCCAGAAGTATTCTCTCTTCTTTTATTATTTTTTATGGGCATTAAATTTTTCAGCTACAAAATGATTGCTGTAGAACTTTGTCAGTGTTCATTTGATTTCTTGAAATAGAAACCTTAGGTAGGCTTAATTATGCCCTCTGGTGACTAGAATAAGAAAATGCAAAAGATAAATTTTTGTAGGAACTTGCAGGCTACTTTTGATTCCTAATAGTGACTTCAGTTTTCTCTAATTCCGAAAAAGATACCCTTTCTTTCTTTTTCTGGTTATGCCAAAATTGGCTTCTTGATAGAGACTATATGAGTCTCTGATACAGAGGAGAATGTTTAAATAGTGAGATAATTACAAGTAAAGGAAAAGTCCCGTCTTGTATATTAATTGCATTTTTCCCCAAACTCTGGAGTCGTTTTGCAAAAAACATTTCACAAATCTAATTACCATACATCTAATTAGTAACAAATGAGAATATCTAAATATGTAACAAAATGTTCATTTTTATTCCCCATAGCAAGATGATGGCCATTGATTCTAGAGATGTGAATAAATTACTTTGAGACTAAAGTTAGTGATTTGCAAGCGGATAGATTTTTGATAATCTGCAATTGTATTCTTTTTAATCTCTTAATTTTAAAGATTGAAAAAATAAAAAGCATTGATTACTACTGGCTTATAACCTTTAAATTTTAAAAAATGAGCCAGTTAACGATTCTGCCAATTAATTTGGGAATTAGACTTAATTATGCATATTTAATTTTCTCTCTTCAGAAGGATGTCAGGGTAAATTTAAAGCCAAATTATTTCTCTAAGTCAGCTTTAGGTCTTAAGTAGAAATGTGAGATTTGTTTTGCGCTACCTTGCCAAGCATTTTCTCATTCCTTTTTTTCCAGGCAAGAACTGCCTCCCTTTGACAGATGGCTAACTTTCATGGACCTCTCTCTTAAAATTAGGTTTAACTTGATCCTTCTCCCGATTTCAGCCTATGTTCATTCAGCCCTGTGGTGTCCTCCAGACCTGCTCTTCCCCCCTTTCCCCTGCCCCCCCCAGTGTTTTTCACCCTGGCATCCTCCTTCCCCTCGAGCCACGCCCGGGTATTTCTTCCCCATTCTTTCTGTCCTGGGAGCATGTCTGTCTGTGAGGATTCCATGTGGATAAAGAACAGCCCCAAGGATTCCCAGACCACAGTTTGGGCAACACCGGTTAACGCTGACATCAAGCTTCCCAACTTTCCCCGGGCCAAATTTGTATCTTCTGCCAGTCCTGTTTTCTCGGTTGTCCTCTTAGGCAGGGACCGTCCTCACACGTATTATTTTTAATGCAGCAAAAGAAGAAGAATAATAAGTCACCAACAAACAGGTTTGTGAGTGTTCCCAACCTGAGTGCGCTGGAATCTGGTGGAGTGGGCAATGGACATCCCAGCCGCCTGGAACCCATCCCTAACTCTCCCGTCCACGACATTGAGTTCAGCAGCAGCAAACCACTTCCACAGCCAGTGCCACCCAAAGAGTCCAAGACATTTTTGAGGTGAGCCCCGTCTCACCGGTGGTTTTTCTCTCTTCTTTCTTAACTTGAGAAAGGTACCTTCTTACATTGCAGAGATCCACCACTTTAAGAACAGCCTAAGGAAGGAAAACTTATTGTCCAATATTTTCAAAGTATCGCCTCTCTAGAAAACTCCCTTTTGACTCTGCTAAAAAGATGTTTCCGACTTCTTGTTGCCAGTCCATTTTGTAATGCTTGAAGAGAGGAGTAGCTGTAATTCATACGCTTAGAATTTTTGTATTTATGAACGATTGCTTTATTGTTAGTATTATCACCATTTTTTAATTAATCATCCATCCTTGTAGAATTTCAAATTTTTAAATTGTTTTTTGTTTCTTACATATGTTTTTTTTTCCCTTTCTTGTTTGCCAGGCTTATTTATGAATATATATGCTTCATTGCCAAAATAAAAATATGTAAACTCTAGGAACTTAACGAAATACTTAAGCAAAAACTAAATTTAGAAAAAATAAGTAAATTTAAAAATTGCCATTCCAATTTTAAGTTACCTCAGAATAACATTAAATGTAATAACAAGTAGCTTTTGAATGAAATGCATTGGTTAGCTATTATGTAAAGTGAGAAAGTACTATTGCTGTATGCTTCCCTACTACTGATTTTCTACTGCTTTAAATTTTTTTTCTTACTCTTACTAAATCTTAGCAGTGTCGTTAGTAACAGTCTTACAAGTAGGCAGCTTTTTTAAGGCTAAGTGATTAATGGCATAGTTCATGACTTTTAAATATCAAAAAATAGAGCAAGAATAAAAAAGAGTCAAGTCCACCTCTGATGTATCTCCTGCTAAATATTTTGTGTTGCTTATTTTCCCCTGTGCATGGGCATGTTCAGGTGTCGGTAAGATGCATGTGCATGACCTCAAGGAACATGACTACGGGAGTTTCCGTTACACATTGTTGCGTGCCTTGTAATTTCCCCACAGACGGTAGGGATTGTTTTGTCTTCTCAAGTAGCCCTGAGAATCCTTAGTTATAATCAAGATATGTATGAGCTGTTTCACTGGGAGATAGAGGGGAAATTGGATTTTTAACGTGCTCCTTTCCCCGGAGCTTTTGCTCACGGGATCATGAGGTGAAAATGGAACATAAATGTCCACGCAGTCAAGACCCCTTCATCTAGTTACTGAATGTAGCTTTATGTAAGGACGCTCTGAAGAACCAAGCGCGCGCGTCAGGTTCTGAAGCTTTCGGTCCTTCTGCTGAGAAAGCAGGACTTCCCGAGAGGACGGGAGGGGCCCCGCGGGGCTGCCCCAGACTCCGAGGTGTCCGTGAGCGCCGGGAAAGGGCGCGGCCGAGAAAGCCCTCCCCGGTTCCGGACGCCGCGCCCGGCCGGTGACC